GGTTTCACAATGAGTTTTAAGAGTTCACAATAAAAGCAGCCGAGGAGAGGCTTGATTAAGATGATTGAGGCGTTTCTTCAGACTCAGTGGGAACAGAAGGTCGGTCAGTAGCTGCTGGAGCATCAGCTGATCACAGGTTAGTCACATGACTGTGGGTCAGAAACTCCATTTTACACACACACACTCGTTTGTTTACTTTATTTCTTTGAAAGAAAAAGTTCTGCACATTTCTGTTCTTTTAGAAAGTTGAAAAAAAAGTTTGCCTTGTACAAACATTTAAAAACGAACAAAAATGGCCGTAGAGATGAAGTTGGATCCACTCTGCAGAGCGATGAACTCGTTCATTAAATCAGCAACATCCTGGATTTAATTCTTTCACCCCAAAGTGAGATTGAAATAAGAAGAACAACCACTTCTTCCCTCTGAGAAGCGACTGTCTCAAAGTTCATCACAACAACAACAGCAGCATTGTGTGTGTTGTTGTATTTCGCCCCATTGAGGACACGAGGGGTCAGAGTTCACAATGAGTCCAGCTGTGTGTGTGTGTGTTATTTGGTGCGCAGCAGCTCCAGCTGGTCCTGGTACTCGGTGAACAGTCTCTGGAACCTCAGGTTCTCCACCATGACGGGTAAGACCTCCCGCAGCAGCTCGCGCTTCCGCAGGCCCTGAACACACAGACGCACGTTAGCACCGCTAGCTAGCGGTTAGCGACACGGCCTAGAGTACATCAGATGCAGGGAGGACGTCCCTTCATGTCCTCAGAGTCTCTGGAGGACCCCAGTGATCCCTTTACAGCTCCTTCAAACCAGACCCACTGCTTCTGCGCTTACCTTTCACAATAAAAGCCCTGTAACTGGCGACCAGAGCGGAACTCAAATGAACTCAGTCAAGCGTTTCACTTGACGGAGTAAAATGAAGCACAGCGTTCGTGTCCTCTCAGTGTTTAAGGTCTAAAGACACAAAAGGTTGTGTGGGAGGAACTAGTTTCTCTACCAGCGTGCTGGGCTCCCACGCCGTGGCGGCTGATTTGTTGACGGGACTCAGCAGCTCCTTGCATAGTTCTCGGAGACGATTCTTTAGAGCTTGGGTGTGGGATATACACACACACACGTGTTGAAAGCGCTCCTCTACAGCGACCGTCCTCAGGGAGCGTCTTTGGGGCGTACCTTCGCTGACGAGGAAGCGGGCGTAAATGAGCAGCCAGTGACGGTATTCCGCCGCCGACTGCAGCGTCAGAGCCGACGTCAGCTGGTTCTCCAGGAAGGCCAGCGTCATGCTCTGCTGTAGGTGGTGGGGGGTGGAGGAGAGGCGGGACGCCAGCCGCCCGGCGCTGCAGGGACGAGACGGAGACACTTTACGGGTCTTATACTTCAACACATCTGATTTGTTGCTCGTGTTGTTTTAATAAAGGAATGACGGCATCGGAGCCCTCTGATTGGACCGTGAGATGCCATTAGACCCTCCCCCTCCCTTATGGTGTCCTACTTGAGGTTGCGTCCCTGCATAACAGCCAGTGGTCCCGAGGACACAGGTGCATCGTGGGTAGGCAGGCAGCTCCTGAAGTCGGCACACTGGACCATGGAGTCTCCTTTGTCTGCTACCAGAGTCCTGAGAGACAAAGGGGGGGTTACACCACTCTAGTCCCACTCCGTCGTGTCTCCATGGCAACGCGTCTCACCATGTCTCCAGCGAGGAGCTGAAGCAGTAGGACTTTCCGTTGGACAGGCCGATGACCGGGACCCCCTGCTGGGTCAGCAGCGACTGGGACACCGTGGCGTCGGCACCTGTCACTCAAACGTGTAGAGATGAAGAGTGAGACTGAGACGCTTCTACTGACGTCCTCTTCATCACGTCTCTTCCTGCTCACCTGATAAGATGCTCAGCAGAGACTCGTTCTTCACCAGAGCTTTTTGCTTCTGAACGTCCCTGCAGAGAGAAACAGCTGTTATTACAAAGGACAGCTGGTCAGCTGATCAACGAGAGCCGCCGGACGCCATGCTGAGAACACGCCCCCCCTGCCCCCCCCCCCACAGAAACATCTAATCAGTAAAAAGAGTCACAAAAACAGTCACTGACCAGACGGACAGCGTCGCTCCGGCCGTCAGCGCCATGACGAAGTGGGCGGAGCAGTGCAGGGCCGAGGTGGGCGTGGCCAGCTGGATGGCCGGGAGGAGCCGCCGCCCACAAGACGAGAAGACCGACAACATCCTGTCCTGGCAGGCCACGGCGAGGACGTCGCTGGAGGGAAACACCGATGCGTTCAAGTGTCCATCCCTTTAACGTTGTGGGTGGAGCTACACGAGTAGCCTGTTCGGCCCTCAGACCCCTCCCCCTCCTCGAGGGTCTCGTACCTGCTCCCTGCTGCCGTGACCACTGAGCTGGGCAGCAGCGTGTTCCACTCCCGTCCGTCCCTGGAGCAGCGCAGCTGGCTGAGCTTGGACCCGGCGACCAGCGACACCTCGTTCTCCACCTCCAGGAACACCGGCGGCTCAGCGCTCACCTGCAGACGCCACACACCTCAGTCAATGGGGGGCCGGGGGGCACAGACCCGTGTGGGAAATGGAAAGTCTTTGTTGAGCTTGTTTTTCCTCTATGTTTTACTTGTGTTCATGTGAAGGGTCAAAGGTCATGTACACAGATTTTCTGCTGTACGAATATATAAATACATTAAACCCAAAAACAGAAACAGGAGTTCTGGGTAGAAACGGACTGCTGCTCGTTTGTGTTTGTTGTTGCAGTTCCCTCTGAGGACCAGTAGAGGGAGGTGTGTGTGTGTGTGTGTGTCAGTGTGTCACCTGCAGACTGAAGGCCTTCTTGATGCTCGGTGTGGGTAGTTTGAGAGCAGCTGTGGGGGGCGGAGCCACCCGGCTGTGCTGCTCCGCTGGGGGAGTGGCCTGAGAGGAGGAGGAGGAGTTAAAGAGTCACAAAGCAGAAAACACCTGAAGCACGTTTCTCCTCTTTGGTTCGTCATCGCTCTGATAGATGTAGTCCCTCTGCGCCCCCCCCCCTGTCTCTCTACCTGAGGGAAGGGCTGGGCGCTGGGGACGGCCATCTTGTCCTTCCTGGGCCGTCCCTTCCTCCTCTTCTCCACCACCCCCTCCCCTCCCTCCATCAGCAGCTCGGGCTTCCTCTTGCTGAAGGACAGGTTCTTGTTGATGGAGGCCATCTTGTCCTCGCTGTCGCTGCTGCTGTCCTCTTTGCTCTTCGCGTCCTTCGGGCCGGGGACGCCGTCCTTTAGCCTGCTGGACGGAGGAAGGATCTTCAGCTCCTCCGTCACCTGACATCTGTTCCATCCACCCCCCTCTCTCGTATCGAGCCCCTCACCTGTCCAGAGGCAGCAGGCCAGTGATTGAGGTGATAGCGGCGGTGACCCCCGGCGTGGCCTTTGACCTCTCCGTGAACCTGGAGTCCAGAGCCTTCATGGGCTCCATCTTGGAGGCGGAGGTGAGCAGCAGGCCGGACTTCACTCTGGGACAGAAACATTGAGGGGGAGATGAGAAAAGCCCCACGCGTACGGCACCACAGAAGAAGTCGGCCGTACCCCTCGCGGTTGTCCTCTGGGCCCTTAGCGGCGCCGGCCGGAGGCGAGGTGAGCATGGGGTCGTGGCCGGGCCTCAGCCCCAGGGAGGAGGAGGGGCCCGGGGAGGAGTCGGAGCTGAGCTGGGAGGTGAGCTGGTTGGACATGGAGGAGCCCGAGGGCAGGATGGGGGCGCTGTTGAAGAGCGCCGGGGAGAAGTCGCTGCAGAGAGAAGAAGAAGAAGAAGAAGAAGATGAAGATGAGGGGACGGTTAGCTGGTGTTCTTTTTGTTGGGTCTGAGCCCGACGGGCCGCCATAGTGTCTCCTGTGTCCTCCTACCCCGTGTCCAGCTGAGCGATGCAGAGCGGCGTGATCCGCCTCCGGCCGTCGGGGGTCCTCGTCTCCACCTGCTTCTTCAGAAGGTTCTGCAAAGACATCTGCTTCAGCTGTGGAAACATCTGGGCCTGTTCATACCTCACCGCACAAACATCTGGGCCTGTTCGTACCTCACCGACAAACATCTGGGCCTGTTCGTACCTCACCGACAAACATCTGGGCCTGTTCATTCCTCACTGACAAACATCTGGGCCTGTTTGTACCTCACTGACATCTTTATTATCCAAACCAGCAAGACTGGAATTTATTTCCAATGATATTAATTAACTTATGGATGACCGATGTGAAAATGACTATAGCATAAGTTAAATCAGACGATTTCAATGCTCTTTTCTTGTAGGATCTTAACAACTTACCCCAGCACTGCTCCTACCGTGCGGTGTCCTCCACGCTCCTCGTATCTGCATGTTGAGTTGGGGGCCGAGG